GATTTTTTTTAAAATTTAAAGAGAGTGCGTTACTAATATGGTAATTTGAGAATTTTTTCAGTGGTTTCTGATAAGGAGACATTTAATGCAAGCGAATTTCGTGGTAGAGTGCTCAATATCGAATATGAACAATTTTTTCCACTCATTTCCTGTGAGAAAATTTATATATATATATATATATATATATATATATATATATATATATATATATAATGTGTGTGTGTGTGTGTGTGTGTGTGTAAAAATATATAGAAAATAGGAAAGAACTCGTTAGGTAAATAATCCAAAGTTCTTTAGTATTTTTGTTATTATTTTTAAAAAATAGTCCTCGATACAAAAGTAGAGCATAAATTCAATTAATTCAAATAATTATATTGAAGTTTTCGGCTCTTGTTTTGAAACATGAGAACTCTTATGTAGCGTTGGAATCATATTTTTAAATAAATAATTATATATATATATATATATAAGCAATAATATATAAACAACTGCATATATAAAGAACAAAAATACAAGAACAGTAGCTCATTATCGTTTATTAGGCCGAAAAATTACGTTACATAGCGTCCTACATAGTTTACCTTGACTAACACAGTAAGTTTTTAGAATATTTTAGAGTACTCCCTAATACAAAATTTGAAAACTTAGCGATATTTTTCTCCACATTACTTCTGTCTATAAATACAGGTTACCAAATAACATTTCTACCCCTGGCTTGTTAATGTTCCTCGAGGAACAAAACGGGTTGGTATAAAAAAGTTTTTCTCTTGTCATTAACTATATGTAAGAAATTATATATTTTATATGAGTTGAAAATAGGGATTAAATCCAACAGAATAATTAAATAAGGGACAAATAGAAAAACTTATATAAATTTAAGATGTTTTGATATTTATTTAACATCCTGTTCCCTCTGTTGTGGCTACAACTCTTTGAGTCAAGTCACTTTCCCTCTGAACTCAAAACTCTTTGTGTCAAGTCACTTTTGGACCACAACCAACACTTTTATCCATTGGGCCACGTGTCCTTGGGAACTGCTTCCGAACAGTCTACTCAATTTAACTCACAAGGCTTGGGCCAACACGTGGTATAGTTATCGGGTACTTCCCAACTGTGGCATACGTTTTTATCATCTCACTAATTTGGATTAGAGAGTCGAGTTTCAATCCCAACCGATGCCGTTGCGTTCGCCTTCGCGCAAATACTGTTGGAAAAGTATGAATCCAAATCATCTACCGCCTTACAACTGTCTCTCGTTATTTTCCTCGTAAACGGTGAGGGGGGGAGTTCTCTTTCCACGAAGACTACTGATTTTCGCTTATTAAAATGCAGCTTCATCCTTGTTTCATTCTGTCACTCATCGTTAAATGTGATCTTATTTTAAGAATCTGTATTCTGTCGTTCTTTAACCAACATAATCTCACCTTCAAAGGCTGTTTATCAGTTTATTTATTAAGTATCCCGCAAGATCTGCCAAGAAAGGTGACATGTTGGAAGGAACTGGACGCAAATTTACTTTCGTTGATGTAGCGCTTGAATCACTTTCTATACACTTCCGTCCTAATAAATTGCTTAATCGTTTAATTAAAGTAGCATTTTTAAAATCAAAATTATACCCAGACTCATTACAGTGAGCAACTAATGCAATGTGTGTTTTCTTTTCTAAAAGATCCACTTTTTGTGTTCGTATAAAATGTTATCTAAATTCCTCGAGGTTTCTTATGGCAATTATTACAAGTGACAGATAAAATGACTACTTCAAGTTATTGCTTATTATTATTTTGTTTGATATTAATTAAGTCTTTTATTATTTTAAAAGTAGTTGTAACAAATTTTAGGTTAAGCTTAGATAAATTCTTTTCAATTGTAGTTGTGATTGAGTTTCTGGGTAGAGTATTGGGCTCGTCCATTAGCCCAATCTTACCTTCTTCGAGTAATGCACTATTCCAACTTTCATTCGTAAATCTAGCCCTCTGATTGGTTCATTTCTACCAATCAGGTCGCCCGCACGTGCACTTCGAAGCACGTGTGACCAGCAGAGGCAGACGGAGAAGCAGACCTGGGCAGATCAGCAGCAGACCATTTTTCGACCGCTTACTCAAGCTTAAAAATGTGACGACTACAATTCACCGTCTCGCGAATGGAGACGACAAATCTTTTCCGTTCAATATCTCCGAACTTCTTCGTCATTCAAGAATCTCAAACTATACATTCTCTTTGATCATTACGATAAATCAGTCAGTCGAACGAGCACAGACGCGCAAACTAAATCATTACTGACTCACTCACAAGCCCAAATCGAAGAAAACTCTGTGAACACCGAAACTTCTATCCGAACAACTTTACTTATCTAAAGTGAATTAACACTCACTACTATTCTAAGTAAATAACATCATCGAACGAACTCAACATTTGCAGTCAAAGGTAGACTACTTCATAATGACTCATTTCTTAAAACATAATACCGACATTCTAAATACTAACTACAATTTCCTAAAAAGACTGTAACACAGATACACAAGATATAAAAAAGGACATACAAAAACTACAAATATCACGAGCACACCAACACAATAACATCTTCAAAATATTCTGTACATATCTTATTAGTATATAAATGCCTCGGGGTTCTTGATAGGCTCCAGAGGCGGATATGCAATATGGTTGGCCCTGCCCTGGCGTCTCGTCTACAGTCACTTTCTCACAGACGCGCCGTCGCCTCCCTCTGTCTGTTCTACAAATACTTTCATGGAAATTGCTCCGAGGAGCTGCATTCGCTGGTTCCCAGACGTCATGAGTTCCAGCGCCCTACGAGGCTGGCATCCCGCTCTCACCCCTTCACTGTCGAAACTCCTAAATGTAGCCGTCTCTTCTACTCTAATAGCTTCATGTCTCGCACCTCTCGCCTGTGGAACTCCTTTCCCTTCTCCTGTTTCCCTGTGTGCTATAATCTCCAGCTATTCAAGTGTAATGTCAATTGACATCTCCAGTTGCCTTAATCTATCCACTACCCTCATCCTTTCTTCTATCACTCCTATCTGATCTTGCTATAAATTTTCTGTAATCCCTTGCGTCCTAGTGGCTTCCCGCCTTGCTTGGGGTGAAATGCCTAAAAAAAGAAAAATGCATTTATCGATTTTGAATTGCGTGTATGTTATGTCTTGTTTACATTGAAATTGTTTATTTGTTTGTGGATGCAGAAAAGTTCACGCAGCCTAACATAAAAATTCCTTCTGATTTAACTCAATGCTACAGCAAATTGCTTAGTTTATTCTGCACATCCCCAACAAGAGCAATATATTTTGATTTGTAGGGTTTATCAGAAGGGTCCACTCTCTTATTTTGAAATGTTTTACGAACCTTTTATTTCGCGTTGAATATGTAATAATTAAGGCATTAGAGGAGCTTTAAATATATTTTAAATGTATTACTCCTCTTCATATAAATCTTGAGGGTTGGGCTCCTAGAGGCGGTATAGTGGTTAGCAAGCTTTTCTTGCAAGAACAATTACGACTGAGTAGTGAGTTCGATCCTCACTGGGTGCCCCATACATTCGGCCCTGTGCCGCATCTAAGCTACGCTTGGAAAATCACTATAAATATTGACGGTTACAAATTCTTTTTACATATTTTCCTAACAATGTTCTGGTATATAAAAATGTATATATTTTCACTTATTATATAATGTATTATTTATAAAAGTATATAATATTCATATTTTATATGACTGGCTATTTTATCCAGTTTTTCGAACCACTTGTATCATGCTAACTGCTAATCATATATGGTAGTTAAAAAAAAATGGAGTTCACTAACATAGCATAGTTTTTGCATAGCAGTGATAGAATACACAGTGCTTAAAAAATATTTTTAACCTATCTAATGGAGGGATTCAAAGTATATTCACATCCAATTGATATTCAAGCAAGAGAATAACGTCATGAAGATTTCTAGAAAAAACATGTCGCATTTATGTTCAAGGAGTCATTACTGATCGGTCACTACAAAGTCTCGTTCTGGAGAAATGTCGTTGGGAAATGAACTTAGACTGGAGCGATATGGTATGTAGAAACAATTAGGTTAAAAAAATGTTGGTTCCCTGTGTCGTGCAAGACAATTTTTCTCTCTAGAATCTATTTAAAATATCTACCATCTGCGCATGCTTAGAATATTACTGCCACATATGGTCCGGTGCTCCTGCTATTTATTTAGAGATTCTTGATAAAATCCAAAGGATAATCAGCAATATTATTGGTTCTGATCTGGCGGCTCGGCTTCAGTCACTTTCCCATCGCCGTAAAGTTGCTTCCCGTACCTTTTATATAAATACTTTCATGGTAATTGTTCGGACGAGCTCTTCGCTATGGTACCTAGGTTTTATGAATTTAAGCGCAGTACTAGATTGGCGGCAAGGTCTCATCAATTTTCAGTTGAATTGGCTAACTGTAACCGTATCTTATATGCTAAAACTTTCTTTTCTTGCACTTCTCGCTTGTGGAACTCTCTTCCGGTTCCATGCTTTCCGGTTAGCTTTGATCTTCAAAAATTACATGTAATGTCAATCGTTATCTAATGTCTTCCTGATTACTCTTCTGTTGTCCTCTCTTCTTGATAATGTATCCATTTTCTAATTCTTTCACCCTCAGTAACCCCCCCCCTTGTGTCTTAGTGGCTTTACTGCCTTACATGATGAATTTAATTAAAAATATACAACGTTATATTGATATAAGTACAAATAGATATTAGTTTTTTTCAAATCTTAGCTTCAGAATATCTACTCTATTGAAAAACATTTTATTCTACTGATTTTACAAGTATATGATTGTAGCTACTGCCTAATACATTGGTGCGTAGAAGAATTAGACTCGTTGTTCACACTTCAGCCATATCAGACGTTAATTCGCCGCAGGTGCAAATTGATTTGTGTTTTCCAACGGGGGGATCACGGCCCCCCAACTGTTCAAATCATTCATTGTAGATTCATAATCTTATCTTTCTTACTACACTCGACTTGGAATGTTTTTGTTGTCGCCCCGGGTATAATTCTCGTGGTGTGTGGGAAGAGGATGCGAATATGATAGGCAGGCGGGGAAGAAATGAGGGAGGCCTTGTTGGAGGGAAAGCGGACAAGGGATTGTTAACGAGAGACAATGAAGAGAGTGAAAAGCGAGGAACGAAAAAGCACATGTCCGATTGTAAAGACAGACGTCGCTGATGGTAGATCGCTTAGTACAGAAACTGAACGCTGGAACCGACTATTTTACAACTGCTACTAATTATTATTATTATTATTATCATTATTATTATTATTTCTGCTATGGACACACTACCTACCAAGTCTGCGGAAAGACCTAAGGCAGGTCGTGGTGTGTTGTTAAATTTTCATGTTAATTTTTTTTTTTTTTTTTTATATCTCCGATGAAGTTGCTAGCGTTACATAGACAAAGTTCTCCTTAGTGTGTGTGCTGTACTTAATAAGACAATTTTCTGTGTGTCTCTTAAGCTGGGGTTTCCAGGGATTCTTTTCAACTGTTGTTTTGTTCCATTTTTATAATTCCAAGTGCACCTATTACCACTTGGTATTATTCTTGTTTTCAATTTCCACATTTTTTCTATTTCAATTTCCAGGTCTTTGTATTTTGATAGTTTTTCAAATTCCTTGGTTGCTATGTTACAATCCGCTGGACAAGCCATATCAATTAGTTTTTTTCTTTCTGGTTTTTGACAATGATGTCCCCTATTTGGGTAATTTTTCTGTCTGTGTGGATGGTATAATCCCATAGAATGGTGACATCTTCTATTTCTGTAACCGGCACTGGCCGATGTTCATACCAGTGTTTGCTTACATTTTCAAAGATCCAGTGTAAGTATTGCCCCACTCTATCGTGACGATTTTTATATTCATTTGGGCAATGATAGAACATCCTGATTAGATGGTCTATTGTTTCTTGGTATTTGTCACAGAACCTGCATTTTGGATCCACATTATTATGTATGATATTTGTTAAATTCCTAGTGAAAAGACTCTGGTCTTGCGCTGCAAGAATAAAGCCTTCAGTTTCAGACTTTAATCCAGATGCTCGTAACCATCGATGAGTATTAACTTTATCAACATTGGGTTTATTTGCACGTTCTGGATATTGGCCATGCAGAGGTTTGTCTTGCCAACGTTGTTTCATCTGTTCAAGGGCTTTATCCTTGGCTTTCTTTTCATATCTTTTGCTGCAATAGTTGGTTCTTGGCTTCTGTTTTGATTTACTTACTAGAACTAAATGTAAATGTTGTTTGTATTTACTGCCTTCTTTTATTATTGAATATTTTTTCTTTCTGTTTTTCATGTTGTTTCACTAATTTTATCATCCAGTCATTTGTTGTTTCCATGTAAGTTAGTAAGCCAATAGTTGTTGTCTTGAACAATTCTAGCTGAATAAGACCTCTTCCACCTTCTTTACGGGGTATGTATAGACGGTCTACATCAGCCTTTGGATGATGCATCTTATACTATTTCTTGTTTTAGAATCCATTTGTCTGATGTCATTTAGAGTCCAGTTCAAGATGTTGAAACTATATTGGACATTATTATTATTATTTTATTATTTTCTATTATTATTATTATTATTATCATTATTACGTCTTCACGCCGAAAACTAGATAATGTTAAATGTCAAGTGACAGCAAGTTCATGGAAATACGTAAGTCAGTGCCTGTCTACAAAATCTCAAAACTTATCGCGAAAATCGAACTGTAGTTTGGTCGAAAATATAAGGCACTCAGTCGTAATTGATCTATCGAGACAAACTTAATAACCATTAAACCACGTCGAAGCGCCGCCATTAGTTACATATGCTATCCGTATTAGTTGTTGCTGCGTTTGTAAGTCTTCAAGTTACGAGGTTTTAGTCATTTGGCAGATCACTTTGTTTGGGATTCTGTAACGCCAGTCTATAATATCATTTTTTAAAGCCACTTGTAAACATTTAATATGATAGATTGTTTAGACATTTCTGAACGAGGTTGATGCTATGCATGGATATAGATCTGACACTTGGTTGTTAGTAGCTTTTATTTGGCGGCATGTCAAGCTCTATTTAATACCGAAATCTAAATATTTTGTACACAATATTATTTTATTTTTGCAGATAATAATAGTCTACTGATATAAATCTTAATAATTAATCCATAGCTTGCGGGAGAAGAGGTGGATTAATACCTTTCCCAAGGTTCTCCGATTAAAAATGCCGAGTCATTATCCATTACACCACCGGCAAACCTAATCTTACAGCACCTGGTATTCCTAAGCCGTCACCCGTCTAGCCACTGACCAGGCACAACTTTGCTTAACTTCGCTGACCATATGAAAACCTGTTTTTCAATGGTGCCGTAAGCTTAGATCTGACGAGGTTGTGTAAGAGCATTACTCGAGTCCTTGGGTTAATATTTTTGTTTTTGTAATTAAGAGAGAGAACAACTTCGTTAGAAACAAAGGAAAGAGTACTGAACTGTTACGTGATATCTGTCCTACTGTATGACAGTGAATGCTGGACAATTTGCTCAAAGATAAAGAAAAGACTTGAAGCAACAGAAATATGGTTTGGCAGAAAGTTGGTGAGGATACCATGGACCGAACCTGTGAGCAACGACGAGTTTTTAGAGAAAAGGAAACTTAAACTTAACATCAGGAAGAGACAGTTGAAATTTCTTGGGCACATAATGAGGATGGAGGGTTTGGAAAATCTGTTACCCTCAGGACGGATTAAGGACAAGAGGGACAGAAGAAAAGAACGCATAACTTATTTGACGAGCTTGAGAAAATGGTTGCCGGAAGAGGGTTAAGAAAGACAGAATTTATTTAGAGCTAAATGGAACAGAAAATTGTGGTGAGTCATGATCGCTTACGCACTAAAGAGACTCGTTATATAAAGAGAAAGAGAGATAGAGAAAGAGAGGGTATCTTGCGGTTTTGAAAAAATATCCTTAATGAAGCCTATTCCAGTTCAATTCCCTTATCTCCTAACAAATTTAGTAATTTATTATAGTTGAGATATACACTAGGGTATTTGAAAACTTTATGATTTATTAATTCCTCGTTCTGATTTTTTTATGGTGGATTTAGAGTATGTCACTACTTTCATTCCAATTCTAGATCATAGTTTCAGTTTTGGAAAGGTTAATCGTAAGACGTAATTCTTGGAACACTTGATAAAGAATGTTTATATAAAGTGTGGACAAAAGTATTAACACTAGATGGCAACAATTTGTTTCATACTTAAACCTAAATTGGGCACCTCGAAGCGGTGTAATGGTTAGCAAGCTTGGCTCGCTAGAACAATTACGACTGAGTAGTGAGTTCGATCCTCACTGGGTGCCTCCTAATTTCGGCCTTGTGCCGCATCTAAGCTTGGAAAATCACTATGAGGGCACCTCGAAGCGGTGTAATGGTTAGCAAGCTTGGCTCGCTAGAACAATTACGACTGAGTTCGATCTCTCACTGGGTAGCGAGTTCGATCCTCACTGGGTGCCTCCTAATTTCGGCCTTGTGCCACATCTAAGCTTGGAAAATCACTATGAGGGCACCTCGAAGCGGTGTAATGGTTAGCAAGCTTGGCTCGCTAGAACAATTACGACTGAGTAGCGAGTTCGATCCTCACTGGGTGCCTCCTAATTTCGGCCTTGTGCCGCATCTAAGCTTGGAAAATCACTATGAGGGCACCTCGGTGTGGTGTAATGGTTAGCAAGCTTGTCTTGCTAGATCAGTTACTACTGAAAAGTGAGTTCGATCCTCATTGGATGCCCCATGCTTTCGGCCTTGTGCCACATCTAAGCTACGCTTGGAAAATCTTTACTTAAACCTAAATATAAACTTTAATCTTATAACCCATCCTTTAATGACCTAGATAATTAATAGCAATGAATCTTACAAAATAGCCGCCATGAAAATAACATAAACAAGAAATAAACACTTTACAGACAATTATGATATTCTTATTGTATAGCCGTTTGAATAACACAATAAAGCGGAAGTATCTAGCCTTTTTATACATGGCTTGACAATAACATTTAAACATCTATCTTTATTCAATTTAAACATCTTTGCATCCAATGTTTATATTTATATTACGTTATGTTTCTCCAGAGTCTGTCTATATTTCTGAGATGTGGTATTATGTGCATTATTCGGGTATGAATTTCTGGGTATTATAAACCCAGATGTCCTCAAGGACACATGGAACAGTGAATAAAGGCGTTGGTTAGATCCAGTGACAGCACCCAAAGAGTGTGAGTTAAGGCAGTGGAGAACTTTCAGAGGGAACTTAACAGGAGATAACTGATAACTGACATCCATCAAACATGGCACGTGGAACTAGAACAGTCTACCCCAGTGAGCGAAATAAAGGGTTCAGTTCGAAATTCCAACCACCTGAAGAAGGCCGGAGCGTACAACGGCCGAAACGTTGTGATAAATATGGCGACAAAGATGAGGACAATAGTCCGAATAATGTAAATAATGTTATGTTTCTCATAATGAACACTTTTCTACCATTAATATAGCATACCCTGAAAACAATATTTTATATCACACACACACACACACACACACACACACGATCACCGAAGTTAAGCAACGTCGAGCCTGATCATTATCAGGTGTTAGATGTGCGGGATAAGTAATGGATAATGACTCGGAATTGTTAATCGGAGAGCCGAGGTCCATTCCCGCTCGATTCGTTATATTTACATACGTGCAAATAAAAAAAAGAAAACATCCAACATTCAATAATATCAGCTATGAACAAAGCCACAATGTCTGTGTTTGGAAAATAAAACATTCCTATAACTCTAGATGCATAAAACAATGCATATATTCAGTTAAAAGTAAAAATAAAATCTTCGTAAAAGTATAGCCGAAATCGCTCGGACATACAGAACAATTTCTACATAATTCCCATCCAGAAAAGAAAAAAAATATATAAGAAAACAAGGAATATTAAATAAAAAACTTAACCGCAGTACCTTGTCAGTTGTTTTTAATGAAACTTGTATAAAAGAGGGATTGCTGACTAAATACACAAGTGTGTTGTAGGTTTTGTTGGCTGTGAAAAATCATTTGACTACACGCGGCAGTTGTTAACTTACTCCAAGAGTAGCAACAACTATATAAAAGTTATTGTTTGCAAATACGATAAAAA